GCGAGAGGAAAAAAAATGGGACAATGGTGTGCAGCAATGGTACAATCCCATTGTTACGATGTTCGATCGTAAATGTACGGTGACAAAGGGGACGTCAACCAGCGACGAAATTTCTTGCGGGTGTTGTCGGGTTTCATCGTAAAATCGGATCGAGTGTTACGGTCAACGGCGTGACACGGTCCCCCCGATTTACATGGAAAGCCAATGACAAGCGTTTAAATCTGATCGCGGCGGGAACGGATAATGCGGACGAGGATATCACTCACGCGGCGTGACTCCATTTTGGATTTCCACTGAACGGGCAATCAAGGCTACCCGATCCGAGTCAAAATTCAATTTGTTCGATGCGTTTCGTTGAAGTGGCCGGGATCGGAATTTCATTTGATGCGCGAGCTCTCGCATTATTCGACTAGCGGCGAGGCTTGTGTTAACATTTTATTTAACGGGCAAGAGAAATTCGGAGGAAAAAACGGAATCGCCCGATTACGTTAATCTAGGTTTACTTATCGTTCACGGTTGCGATGGCAGCCGTTATTCAACGATTTACCGAACGTATCGTCGGCTGTATATTATTCATTTGAAAAGGGCGATTATACTTCTCGCGGTAAGCAAAGCGTTAAGAAAATTTCTCATTTGAAAATTACCAGCGTGCTTTTGCTAAAACTACGGGCTGGCGTATTGTGTTCGATACGGTACGGTACGACAATTTTTTTCTGCGCTCCGCGCTTTTGTTCTTCCGACTAAAAATAGGACAGGACGTGGTGAATTAAGAATTCTGGATAGGATTCATTATCTGTTTTATAATTAGATATCTCGCGTGAATGCTCTTTTATGCGCCGCTACAGTGGCACGCCGCGTATAGAGAATGCGAGAGTGAATAATTAAATCCAGTTTGCGCCCGGCAGAAATAAAGCGACCGACGAGATCGCATCCGAGGAAGGACACACTTTGTCCTCATTTTGTGAAGTCGTCCGCGTCTACGCCTCCGCCTACATCTACGATCAGAAAAGGGTATCGTAAAAAAGAAAGGGAGAAGAAAAACGGACGGCAAAATTAAGTCCCAGTTAAGCCGTCCACTTTAAAATGAATGCTGAAGCCGGTTCCTATGCCAGTGCATAAAGGTGCTCATTCAATTGAAGCCGCTGATTACGGGCAGACGTTGAAACAGGTCCCTTAACTTCTGCTGAAATTTTATGTCTTCCTAAAGTGGCACCTTGAAACCCCCTTAACGTATCAAGATGTAAATGATCTTAAGACCATTTACGTCATCATCAAGTTTCCCGAGAAATAATGAGCGCCTTGATATTGCTCTGCTTTTATGTAAAACAGTTCATTACCATGAAATTTATTTTGAAAATTCCCCTTTCTTCTCTTTTCTTTCTCGCGAAGCCTAACGATACGTAAACAACATTATAGCGTTAAGTAATAGGTAGGTTGTGATTTCTTTATTAAAAAACTCGCAAATAATTATTGGTAAATTAATACACATAATCGATAACAAGCAGACTGCGAGTTTGTATGTATTGATGGAATTTTTCGTTATATTATCTTTAGCTTATCGAAATTATTTTTATGTAAGAAATAATATTCTATATTAATTCAATTCGTGAATTATCAAGCTACGAATGAAATGCGAAACAAAATCCACAGTCTGTTGATAAGTATTATTACAAATACACAGTACACAAGTGACAAATAAACCGAATCGAGTTGAAACGAAATTTAGTTCGATCTCCTAAATTAAGTACTTCTTTGTCGATATACGGTAAACGAGAAATTCGAGCGCGAGGTACAGATGCTGCCATCTGTTCGCGCATCTCTCAACACAAACGGATCTTGTATCGACTATGAGTAACGTTACTCGCTACGTTGTTCTTCACACAATTATTTCTCAACAATTTTCACACATTTCCGCGTCCAAAGGGTATCGATAAAATATGATTAACATTTTATTTCAAGTTACGAAAATACATGTAAGTACCGATCTCACGCGCGAGGATTGACCGCATCGCGGCTCCGTTACAGTAACATCGCCGCGTTACATAAATTTCTATTTCTATTTACCGTATTTCTTTCGAAAGGAGTTCTCCTTGTGTAATATCACAGGTATAGGTACTCGAAGTGTAATCCGTAAATCGTGCTCTGCCCCTATAAAACTACGTCCCAGAAACGGTCTCCATCTCAGCGGCGTATCGGTGACGCGATCGGTTCGCAATCCACGTTGTCGTTAACCAATTATCGAAGTCAACGTAACCGAAACGCGGCCGATACTTAATTAGCCGGTGTTGCTACAAAATCGAACACCTCGGAACAAGTGCGATAGGTAAATATTGTTGCCCACGTCATCGAAATTAATGGGAATATCGTGTTTCTCGCGATAAATCAGCGAGACGTCTCGGCGACCGATAGTGTACCCGCAACGTACGCACCGGTCACTAACGCTAAACCTTATAAATAACAACGATCGTCCATCGACGCAACTGAAATTATCGTCTTTAATTGAGGGATCCAGTGCAAGAGGAAGCTAAGCCACAAACTACTGAAAAACGTGATATTTATTCATTCTGATACCTCTTGATGTCTAGTCATTATCCCCCACGTTATAATTACATGGCAAAATTTTTGCGTGTATTTCTTCTTGTGTACTATTAACAGTTATCTTCTTTACGTGTGAAAATTTCGGTGCAAGAGAGAGCTATGCCACACATTACTTTCGCTTAACGACCGATGTTAGCGAAATTCAAGGATGTAACTTCTGTGTTATTCTTCATTTCATCTATATACCACAATGTTTACAAAACAATGAATTGTAAACCACGAGCAGATAGCGACGAAGAATATACGTAAAAATGAGATATATAAAATTCTTCTCGTAGTACTTTCAAACTTTTAAATAAACGTTTCTTAAATAAAAGACTTAAAACCTTACTGATACAATCTCTAGTGAACTTTTTGCAAAAACCTCCAGATCTCGGAACGTTACTATTGTGGCTTAGCTCTTGCACTGGTCGTCAAGTATCCGGTGGACGTATAGCCAGAGCGAGAACCTGTTGTATCTGTATCCTCACGTCCAGCTTCTTCTCTTCCGGCACTTGTCTTATGATAGGCAATAAAGAGAGCAGGAACATTTTGTCGTAGTCGTCCTCGTCGTAGGCGACCCGTTGGCTGCTGTGTGACGACAGCATATCGTGAATCTCATTATCGAAGGACGTGAACGACGTCTCGCAAAGTTGTTTCGGGTAACGGGGACACATTTTGTACGATGGAGGCTGAAGGTACTCCCTGCCCGTCGCCATGGGAGGAGCAGCGTGGGCCAACGGCACGTCGTATTCCTCGATCACCGGGTTATCAACTTCGCCCTCGCTTTCTTCGGATTTACAATTATTTAACCCTATCCCGACGTTCCTGGAAAGTAGCAAACACTAATATAGGGCACACCCTGTACATACATCGTTTAACATTAGGTTTACAATCAGTCTGACGCGAATTGAGTTTCATAAACATTATTTGGTAAGCGTTCGCGTCGATTTCGATCGATGCAATTATACGAATACGTATCTAAATTATCTACCTTGAAACCTTTAATTTTTAAGATCTAAACGAACAAACACCAATTTACTTAGGAACAATAGAATGAACAATTAGTACGAACCGTTTATTGTCCACCGTTGGCATAAGGAACTGCAGTTGATCAAAGTACATGTATTTCTTCCGTTTGCGACTGGACGATCCCAGTTTCTGTGACTTCTGCAGTTTCAGCTCCTTCATGAAGTAGTCACGGATGTTCCTCCATTTCCCGCGTAAATTCTTTTCTGAAAATTATGCACGGTATACGTCACGGCGCACCGTGGTCATTGCACCTCGGGCGCTCCGATCTTTTTCAAGGGGGGAAAAACTGCCGTTACTGGATTAAACAAATTGTTTCGGCGGGAAGTAACGTTCTTCGCGTTTCGAGATGTGGTTCGAGCAAGTTGCGCCGAGTTGAAAGGAAAAACCCGCGACAGTCCGCACACGTGACGCAATTTTTCGTGTTGTAGATTATGTAAGAGAACAAATCGTCACTTTCACGATCGTCAGGCAAGAAAAGAAGTTATTAGAACTAATTTTAAACGACCGCCAGATACGGTCGCGGCGACCAGTGCCAGGGTCGAGCAAGCGCAAGCGGAGGAATCCAGATCGATCGATCGCGAGAGGCTGGTATACCTTCTACGTTTCTCTCCTCGTCCGTCAAGCGCGCCCAATTCGGTACCATCACCTGGCAGACCTCGTCCCACGCGGTCATCTTGGCGTTACGGTCGTTGTACTCGCTACGATTCACATCGTAAATCGCCGGTCGTTTCTCTATTTCCTCGATAAATTTCTCCGTATCGAACATGGTCAAACGGTAACGGTAATCGCCGTAACAACCCTCGCTTGTCGCCTCTTTTTTTCGTACGATCGCTCCCGTTTCGTTTCGTTCCGTTCCGTTCCGTTCTCCTCTCAACTTTTCTTTTTTTCTCCCCAACTTTGCAAAACGTTTTACGGTAAAAACAGGTGCCAGAGGCGAATCGGAGCGGGAGGGGGATAGGGTCTGTAGGAGGGACGCGGAGAAAGAGAGGAAGAGAGTAGGAACGATAGCCGTGAAGATGCGAGAGACGGAGTCGAACGTTATTTAACGACACCGAGTGGAATAGGGGATGATGATTCTCGACCGTTGCGTTGTGCCGATTGTTTGTCAAGGACGCGTCTACAAGAGATACGGGATTATCGATTCGGATTAATCCGAGCGTGGAGACCGCGGCACGAGCCCGGCCAATATTCGCGATCGATGCAGTTACGAAATCGATTTAATCGTGAATGCGACCGCGAAAATGGAGGACCGGCCGACAACAAGACGGGAACAAGAAGAGGGGAAAAAGTCGAGGGGATCGGGAAGAGAGAATATTGGACGGAAACGTGTCTCCCGCAGGCGATTCAGCTGTGTAGGCTACGCCGTCGCCGGCAGTTTGCGCGTCACTGCGGAGAAACCGTTCCACGGCTAGCTTGGTTTGGCATCATGGCGCTAGCCCGGGCGTGCGGGTTGCGGTTGCGGAGCGGAATCTATGCCGCTGCTATGCCGCAGCGTTGCCAAATCTACCCGGCCGAGCGAGAGAGCTGAAAGCCGGCGGAACCCGCGGAGCGAGTGTGTCGCGCGGCGCGCCGCGCGCTCGATCGCTTCCTTTTCTTCTGTGGATGTGTGCGCGGCGGGACGCGACGCGCGTCCCCGTTGGCCGGCCGGTCGTCGCCGCATTTCCAATGCGGTGATACTGGCGCTCATCGACCGCACTGGATTTATAATAACGCTTGCGAGAAACCGGTGATCGGCTGGAACCGGTTGTAGGAGGTATCCCGATATCAGCCGCGGAAAGATACTTAGCGCGTCGCTAACTCTATAAATAGACCCGTTCGTCGAATAATATTCATTCGGATCCACCCTTTCCGCCGCTAATCGAATGTTTTTTTCTCGCCGGTGCTCGATTAACGGGACTCCGAACACCCCGATCGTATCCTGCTCCGATTACTCGAGTGTGATCCCTCCAAGCGTTTTCCTCGTTTTCACTTCTGCAGTACATCGGCTATTGCGACGAGAAGCTTCGACGAAGCAAAGAGGAATGTCGTTGAAGTTGTAAGAGATGATTATTAACGGCGAAACAGATTGTAATAAAATCATCTTCATCGTTATTTGTTGATCGTGTACTCCGAATGTCGAGCACGCGTGCGGATACTGCAGTCTTCACGGGTGAAACGTTCGATGAATAATTTCATGCGGCTAATGTAAATCGAGGCAATCTTGTCCGTAGGATGTGCTTCCGAAGCAGTCTGACGAGTTTCCAACAGAAACGTAAATAATTTCTAAACGCGGCTCTGTAAAAAAACTGACGCGGGGTCGTAGAAGACGCCGCAGAAGTAGTGCCGACAACAACGTGTATTTCTTATTTTTACACGGACAGCGTGTTTCGCTCCGATGAGGCAAGGTCTCGTCCGTATCGATATAATTTCAAGAGTGCCGCCGGGTCACGAGAATGCGTCGTACAAGAGTTGTCGCAAGACTGTTGGCGAGGCCCTTTTTCAGGAGGATCGATCCCTCGCGCCATCGATCCCCACCCTCTCAAGATCGTTAGCTTTCCCTGGGAACGTCGATAGGAAAAGCGTCCTTGTCCTGAACAGTTTATCCCCCGTCGCGACACCCGACATCTGCAGGCCCTTGACGAGCCTCGACGACGTTGACGAAGGACACTGCGTCTGGACAGGATCGCTGATCGACCGCCCACGCTTTCGCCGGCCCTCGAGATGTTTGTCATTGCACGGAACCCTCTGGATTTCCAGCCGGTTTTCCATCGTTTCGTAGAGGTCGGAGGAGGGTAATCGTGTATCTACCCGGTCATTGGCATAAAGGTTGAACAGGTGATTCAGGAAAGTTCCGCCGGGGCTACAAAAAATGTGCCAAGTGCACGGCGGTACCCACCGGGACGAAGCGACCGCGGGGGCAAATAGAGCAAACAAGAGGACGAAAGGGGAAGCGTGCACGCGTGATTCACGGGCGGCGTCGACGAACACTCGAAATCGCCGGGTACGTCACGGCACAGCACGGTTCGCGTTCTCGCATGGTGGATGCGGAATTCGCGCAGCGCCTCGGCGTTGCCAAGTGTACCGGCGACGTTCACGTGCGTCGATTGCGGCGCGTTGCTACGTGATCGTGGACACCGTGCTCAGCGAGAATGGACGCGGGTACGCGGCGGTCACGTCGTCGCGTTTCCACCGCGCCGTTATCGACCACGCCGTGGGGGTTTGGCAAACGCAAGCGAAATCGACGACGCCGCCGGCTTGCCGCCGAATGAAACGCTATACCGTGGCTTTTTGCGCACGATCCAGGGGACCTTGAGGGATGATCCAGAAACGGGGAAAGAGAAAAACATCCAACGGATGCGATTTCTAATCTAATCGAATGAGAGATCGATACACCGTCGATCACGGGGATACTGGGATAATAAAGATAAACGCGGATACAATAAGAACGCGGCGCATCTATTGTCTCATCCTCCGGTATAAAACTTTCCGTATCGCGCACCGCTAACGGAGCGATCCTCGCGGCACACTTTGTACGATCGACATGGATGCAATAAAAATAATATCTGTTGCGTGTTCGTACGTTATGAATAATTAGGTTCATACTTTAATCGTAAAGCGTTGCGATTGGCCGGCGGGTCGCGCGCGGTTCCGCGGCGTCCAATAGCCGGCGAGCACCGGCACGGCAGAAGATGCTCGCGCACGATCCGTGACTCCACGCCGTTTCCACCGGTCGAATAATCGATCGAGATTAGCGTTGCAATAATCTTATCGGGGTAATTAAAGAACCGGGAGTCGATCGGAGATGCGTGTATCAATCGGATCGATCGCGCGAGATTCGTTTGGCTAAAGCGCAGAAACCAGGAAAAGAAAGTGTCGGATGATAACAGCGACGAGAGGATAAAACTTGTTATGCACATTGCAAACTCTTATCGTAGAACTGCAAAACCCTTGTACACCACGATAGGCGTGATCGTAATCCCGACTGGCGGATCTCGAAAGGGAACGAGGATAAAAATGCCGGGTGAAAGCAGCGCCGCATTGCGCGCAGATGGAAACAGAAAATACACGAAGGGTGGAAACAATTTAGCGACAACCTGTAATAAAAACGAGAGAAGTTGCGGCTGCGGAAAGACGGGGCATCTTGCGATCTGCAGCTGCGAATGTTCGGAGTGGTGTCAAGGGGCGAGAGGGGATCGTCGAAAACGTGCGAGCGAAAATATCGGAAGGGAGAAGGATATTTTTCGAATGTGAGACGAGGAGAGCAGGAGGCGGCATCCGAATGAGAAAGAGCGGCCGCGAAAGCGGGAAGGGCGAAAAGGGGTACGGAAAGGAGAGGGACGAAAGGAGTAACGAGATAGATGGGTGGGAGCGGGAGAAGGAGAGCGGCCGTGCACTAGCCGTGTAGTTGGTTTCGGAGTGTAGTGGCCGTGTGCACCTTTAACGTTCCTCGTCCTCCCGGATCCTAGTCAGTCTAAAGCCGGCGAGAAGACAGTGAACATCGGTCGTATCCGCACTAGCACCAACGTTCTCTCTCTTCAACTGATCATCGGCGATCGTCCTTTGGGCCTACATTCCTCAGTCACGTGCCGCTCCGTTCCGGACAGTTCCGATCGATCGACATGACCGCCGAACAATTCCTCGGGAAGAGATACAAGCTGTTCAACAGCGAGAATTTCGACGAGTTCATGAAGGCGCTGGGTACGTATCAGAACGAATCGATGAAATGCGCGGTCCGCGGCCGCCGACAGGACACTCCCCTTGTGTCTCGCGATCGCCATCGTTTCGGGATAAGGGAATTCGCGAGTCGCGGGGTGGCACAGTGCGGAAACTGTGAGCTGAACGAAAGCTGTATCACGGCTGCGGGTGTCGTTATCGCCGGCACGCAAATATGTCGCGAGTACCCGTGCACATCGTTTCGCGACCTCGCAGAATGTTTCAGGGAATCGTTCTCTCGCGCGATGGTATCTCGTATTTTCGTTCCAAGACGAACATTCCGTCGCGATCGATCCGTTTAGCCGATGAACGACGCCGAAGGTGAGGCTCGGTGATAGTAGAGATTCCTTAATGATACGCGATATTTCGGTATTTACAAATATACCGCGCGATCTGTGTATCGGCCGTGACGGAGGATGTATAACACGGTTGTTGTTGGAAATACGTATCGTCGTTGGCTACGGCAAGAAATCAGATACGAGATAAGAGAGATGTAATGTTCTGATCGTTATTCAACCGCAACCGACATTAATGCAGGGACATTTTTTTGTTTTCGTGCGGGTACATTCGATCCGGTCGAGGAACGGAACAACCGTATTCACGATAACGAGGCTGGCCGCGTATTGTGATAATAAATAAGATAATCAATTTTAATACGTTGAACTATGCTCCAGTGGCCGTGCAACGACCTGACCTCTCGGCTTAATTCCCGCCATGTGCCGCAGACGGAGTTCGATTGAACTCCAATTTAGCACTTGAATTAATTTACAGGCAGGATTAATAAATCGCAATTGTCAGTCGAATCGTGCTAATGTATGGTACTTATGGAGTTGGCTTAATAAAAACACATTGACCGCGCCGCCCAATAAGCGGGCCCAACGGAACGGGATGGATAAGATAATTCGAAACGGTGGATGCAATCTCGGCGGATCGATCGAACGGGAAAGATATACCAGCGTTTTTAGCTAATTGTTTGGCCCGTCGATTCGCTGCATTTGGCTCGAGTGTGTACGAATATGGTATAAGTCGCGTATCTTTCGTTATCGCTAGTGAGTAAGGATAAAGACTCGTTTCAGCGCTGCGCGAAGGGGAATGAGAGAAAGCGATGCTATTCAACGCGAGCAATGGTATGGCAGTACTGTTTGCTATTGAGAGGGCAAGGAATAATTCGTATGAAAACGAGTCATAACGTTTAAGGAGAACGATCCACATTCTCCGAGCTCGTCAAACAATGGCCACAGTTTACGTTCCATTGTTGATATAAGAAAGAGAATGCAGAGGAACTGGACGTATTTTCTACCTCCGGGCAAACAATCTTAATTCCTGGCGGCTCGCGGAGCTTTAGCTACAACTGTAAATATTTATTTGAATTTCTAATAACTCAACGAAACTCCCCACTGCGTAGAAATTCAATTCCCGACTGCGTAGGAAAATACGGACTTTGCAAGTCTGCGGACAGAGCATTGCAAACATTACAGATATGATAATATAGCAATGTTCTTATCGGCACTTACTTAACGAGCTATTACTATGTTTATATGTAAGCGACGAGAGCAGCGCTGCAAGTCATTTTTATCGTTTGGAAAAGGATGTGTCTTGCAAGTATCCTCTTTCTCGTATCATGAATTTTAGCGTTAAATGTTTCTGCCTGAAGTCAGTAATTGATGTCTGTAGAAACGAAAATTACAGAAAATTTATGTAACTGTGTTAACAGCTAGTTTATCGCGTTCGAAACTATGTTGATTGTTGATCGAACGAGTAAAATATGTTACTCGTTCCAAACAGTTAAATGTAAATAATAAAATATGTAAGTTGAACAAGTTTCGCTGTAAAGCGTATCACAAAATTCCGTGCAGTTGGATAATTCTCTTTTAAAAGACACATCCTCGCCTTCCCCTCTTCGTGGCCAGATTCAATCAGGAACAATGTCCTTATTAAGAAGTAAATATCCCTTGCGACGACCGACAATCGCATGACCCATGGCCACCGGCCATCGCTTGACGACAGCTTTGATTAATTCCATTCACCTTCTGACAAGATCACATGCGGCTTGATAATGGCAACAGTCTTTTCAAAGTATTGGGATGAATTAAAAATCTCCTAATGTTAGACTACCAAGTCCAACGTCGGTCTAACCGGACTTGAATTTTATTCAGTCCGAATTTTAAAGAATTTCGTTCGTTAATTTCATTGTCTCGCAAAATTCAAATTTCCATGAAAAGCATGTACAAAATGAAGTTGTCAGATACATTACAGGAACAGTATTTAGTGACGTTCGCGTTGAAAACGAAATTCAATGTAACGCCACATGACATTAATCCTCCATAATGTATGAAACTAAAACAATGAACGATGACAATTTATGAGCTCGTGCATGCTTATTAGTTTTTGCATTCTAACGGTATTGTCATCGGCTGTCTGCCTACAATCACCGGAAATTTGAAGAACTGCAAATTCACACCGATCAGAGTTGCCCACGCGTTATGGTGTTGACTAATGTTACGAAGAATCATGAAGCATTACTTCCTCGAATCCCGACCGACCATGAATAACGCCCGCAGACCGAAAGTGCAAAAGTACAACACGTGCCGCGGGGTTACAGTGTTACGTGAGGTTTTGTATCTACAATGTATTATTAATTGCGACTGAGAATATTGTTTGTCATTACATAACGCACCTGCGATGAAATAACGTCAATAATTCCGCGAACATTTAGAAAAACTAGATTGTATTACACGAGTCCGTCGCGTTATGCAGTATTGTATCACATATGATACAATATAAAACGGAAAGCATGGTATTCTCATTAAATAGTTGTTTCGATTAAGTCGATTAATCGATTGGGAAATTCAGAGAAACGACCGAGACTGAAAGAAAAGGAGATCCCATGCAAAGTTAACGATTATCGTTTCCCAAAGATAGGCGATATCAACCGTAAACAGGCAACAAGATCGTAGACTGTATCACTAAAGTTCAAACTTCAAAGTTTGCGATGCCTTTAATTCATATATTTATTAAACCGATGACGGGTTCCGTGTGTAATTGATAAGCAGCCGAACACGCATCGTTCCCTGATGTATATAATACGGTGAACGTTCCGATGGTGTTCAGTTTCTTTCACGCATTCCCAAATCGCTCGTCACTGTGTACACACCGTCGCGAAAAATGTTGTCGGGATTTTACGGGAAACGTTACAAGCTGGAATCCAGCGAGAACTTCGATGAATTCATGAGAACATTAGGTGACGTAGCGTTCCTTTTTTTCTCATGATCGAACCGGAAATCACATATTTGCGAATCTCATTTAGTCGAACGTTT